TTTAGTCCATTTGGATGACAATACTAATACCTCAAAGGTAGACATGTGCTTGGTAAATAAGCTTTTTAAGAACTTCACCTTGTATTTCATTCTAGCAACTTCTAACCTCCATTCAACATTGACCTACAACTTAATATTTCTTACTCAAGTACTTCCCTGACATCTTCTATTATTCATTGTTATTATTTCATCTCTGGTGATGAAAAACAAAGCTAAAATAATGGTGCCTAGAACAAGAATTAGTCATTGGGACTCACCCAAACCCTATTTTCACGGAGATAAATACAGTTGACTTTTACTACCTTATGGGTGATTGACTTTGTGAATTACCTGTGGTACCTATTTTGTCTTCACCAAGCTTCTTAATATATTCTATTATGTATGCTAACTTCATAGCTATCTTTGACAGGACTAGTAGTCTGGTCAGAAAATGTAGACAATAATGTGCCCTGGATTACAGCAAAATATTTGACAGAGGCTTTCATACCCAAATGAAGTAAATGGAGAAATGTGGATTGAATGTTAGGACAACTAGTAATTGGATCAACAACTATACTCAGACTAGGAAAAGAATCTCAACCTGGACAAAGAATCATGCTGCAGGGTTCTGTCCTTGACCTTTTTCTATTCCCAAATATTACCAGTGGCCTTGATGAACAGACAACAAGGTCCTAAAATATGAAAATGACAAAAAATTGAGTGGGATAATAAATGGATTATATAAGCCAAAATAGATTTGCTAGGGTGAAGAGATGAGTCAAGTCAAAATAAATTGAAATTTAAGAGACAGACGTTTAAGATCCAAAAAAATAAACTTCTTAGGTACAGGATGATTTTTAAAAATGGTTTGGCAGCTACCATAAAAGAGACATAGAAACTTTGGTTGACAGTAAATTCAGTATGAATCCACAAGATGACTACCCAAAAGCTGGGGCCACCCTTAGCAATAGAAGAAATAAGCCATTTCTGCAATAACAGAATATAAGAAAAGTATCTCATAGAAGTAAAACCATAGGCTTGCCTTTCTTGGCTCTGGTAATTTACTTCCATCTTGCACATGGATTTTGATGTTGAATCTTAAAGATACAAAGTGGTGTGGAGCTTGAAAATGTGGACAACATGGATATTCAGTTTCTCAACAGGAAGAGTCCCATGTCAGATGAAGAGACATTTTGAAAAGTAATAATAATTACTTTCAAAGATCTGTTTAGGCTGGAGGAAAGAAGGATATGAAAGCTATCTTTAATACTCTGAAGGACCCAGAGAGGTCAAATGAGAATTAGGAGGTTCAAAGAAAACCAATTGTAACTTGACATAACAAGGAAATTTACATACAGGATGATGAGATTGTTAGTTTCCTCATGCTAGATAGACTGAGAAGGCTATTGCTGGGATACTGTACAGGGGAACCCATCAGTGAGAGTCATCTCAGTGAATCTTGGAACCCTCATGAAAATATGAAGGGAAGTGAATTAACAATCTACAAGTTGCCTGGAAAAAAAAAAAAAAAAAAGATTGTTAAAGACTCACTCTTGTTATCAATAGTCTCAGCAAGATACAATTTGAAATTTAAATCTGATACCCACCCACTTTCCAAATACATCATATATACACATAAAGAAAATATGATTCTTATCAAAATGGAATGAACAACAAAGTCTCACAAGACCTTCTACTATTTGGAATTTGTAATAATTCAGAGGGGAAGAGAATCAAAATTTGCCATCTCTAAGCCACCCTTTAGGGGAAAACATGTTTGCAAAGAAAACTGTTAGTGTAAACAAGACTTTGGTAGGAAAGCATGGCTTACATCTAAAGTCAAGAAAACACACCATTAAAAATAGTTTATGATTTCTGTACAAATAAATCTTTCCAATTTCTTAATGATCCATTCTTCATCTCAAGTCAGGTTGGACTTATCAGTTGAAAGTACTTTATACTTGTTAGCAGCACTTATGCTGACTACCATACAAAATTGAAAATAACAATTTTTATAATGCTAAAAAATCCAGCTTTCATGTGAACTGGGCATTTCCCAAGTTTAAATTAAGCCCCATTAATTCAGTTTATTATGAAGCTTTGTTTTATAATAGTCTAGAAAGAGATAAAAGTGAGTATTATAAACAGTCTGAAACTTACAATTAAAGGATCCAACCAAAGCAAGAGAGATCACAGACAAACTGGCCATAAATTATAGAAACTGTGAGTCTGCACAGAGGACCGAAAGCTGTTCAAAAGCATGGCTGGCGGGGCTGCGTGGTAATGCCACATGTACTTGCATAAGGCCCTGCACTTAGGGAGGCCTTGAGCTCAAAATGGCTGCACACTTGCTTGAATGTTCTGCTACCAACGTCTTGAAAGCCGTAAAATTTTTTATTTCAGCTGATTTACAATGTTGGCGTAAGCTCCGGGTGTAGAGCAAAGTGCTTCAGTTACCACCTATATTTTTTCAGATTCTTTTCCAGTAGAGGCTATTTATAAGATATCAAGTATAGTTCCTATGCTATACAGTGAAGTCTTAATAATTTTTTAACATTGGGCCCTACAGACTATGTTGGTGGTCCTGGAGATTGGTACCTCAGAGCGAATACAAAAGGCTGAAAGCAAATGAAATGCATATGGGCTGGCAAGGTCTAAAAATAACTCCCTTTATTAATGAGCACCAAGATCCTGTAATCAAGACACAGCCTGTTGGTTAAAGTTATAAAGAATTACTTTGCTTGTTGAATGTGTAAACCAAAGCTAATTCACAAATCTGCTAATTGTTCTTCTCTGCTGCAGATGTGAGCGGCCAAGCAGTGGAACTTGAATATTCAAAAGTAATCAGCCACCATTTCAAATACCATCAAGAAGTCATGTATCACTTTCAGAGGGCGCAGAATTTGGGTCCATTTTGACTGGAGTGCCAGAAGGAGTGATGAAGCAAGTATGAATTTTAAGACAACAAATAAAACTTCATTTCACTACTGAAATTAGAAGTAGCAAAGAACCCTGTAGCACTTCAGCCTTTTTCATGATTGTGAATTGCCAAAGCTACATGAGAATGAAGGAATTCTGAACTTTTGCTCAAATTACATGTTCTTTGATGTGGGTTGTAAAGCTCCTTTCACCAGTGAAAAACATACACCTTGAATCCACATTTACAGAAAGAGTTACCAAAACGTTAAAAGATCAGAAGCAAAATCTTGTGCATATCACTTATCTGCTCTACTTTAAAATCTAATTCATTTCCAGACATATAAATCTATCAATGAAGTGTTCAGGGAAAAAGTCATGATGAAGTATCAAATGTAAAAACGATCTTAGTTTTAACTCAACAAAACTTTCCCTATTTGATTTCAAGTTCATAAGTAGAGTCTATATAACCCTAGAGAAGGTGTTTAACAGTACCCCAGATTTATATAACAACATTTGTTCCAAGAGCACTAGGAACATTCACATACAGCATATAATTTGCTCATACAATATCCCTATAAAAATCAGGGAAAAATGCATTATCCTCATTTTTAAAATGGTAGAATTGTGGCACAAGATAGATAAAAGCTTGCCTCAGATATCACACTCACACACACACACACACACACATACTATTTTACAATTCATTTCTCCTTTTTAACAGTTTCATAATATTAGACTCTCAATGCAAGATTATTATTATGAAATGTATGCCTACAAAAGGTATTAGGTACAATTTCAATTATAAATTATAACTCAATTATAAATCATTTTATTCAGAGCTCTATAAGGTACTAACTAATTTTAACAACTATGCAAATTAAGAGTAGATTATATTTTCTTAATCTTATTCTGAAATTATATTTAATTTTAGCCCCAGCTCATATTCCACAAACAAAAGAAAACTAATATAAGTACAACCTCTGACAGGAGCAGTTTATTAAAAAAAATTATATTTTTATTTTAAACCTGCCTTGCAAAGAACAGGGTCTACAATTTCGGGAAGGAGCCACAAACAAATAAAAAAGAGCCATAATTCATGCAAAGAAGCATTTTTGTAATCTGTAATTTACAGTTCGGTTGCCTCACCACCTTGTAACCCAAGCCCTGAGTCAAATAATTGTAGAATTGTTGCTCAATTTGAAAACCTTCCTGGGGTCATGTCTTTAATTTTCCGTTGTGACGTCTTACGTCATGATGTTGCATCACCACGTGATGACGCTGTGCCATCACACACATCATCGCATATTGACACAATGTCATGACATAATATCATCAAATTAAATTCATCAGCCTGGCCCCAGGAAGGGTGAGAGGGATTAAAAGATTTCCTTTGCTCTTGTCAACACTCCTGGTCTTTGTAGGAAAGAACAGCAGCCTTCACTAATTATTTCCCGGTCTCCTAAAACTTCCTAGATCTCAAATTAGAGGTATTTAAAAGTTACACGGGAGAGTTTATGATGATGGCTTTCACAAGATTGATTCTCATGGGTGTTTTCTTGCTTTGCCCCATAGCTAATAACATCCAAATACCAATTGAAAGCGAAAATTTTACTTATATTAATATCCCTTTTCCTCATAAGGGATAAGTTATTATCATAACTATCATAAGATAGGGTAGTTTGTGGGCTGGTGGCAAAAACAAAAACAAACAAAACACCTAATTCCTTGTTGCCTCATTTCTTGCCCTCATCGTCCACATTCTTCCAATTCTTTTGCCTCTTCTCCCACTTTCTTCTATAATGTTCTGAAATGGCAACTAATGGGAAAGCAAGAGGCAGATGCAGTCAATAGTTTTGATGAGAAATATTTATGGTTGGAGGGAGTGTTGAAAGCTGTAATAGGAGACCTTTGGCCATCACAGCCTTGTTGATGAGCAGAATCTCTATCTTAGTGTTCATTATAAACATGGGCATTTGGATGAGACATATATTCAGTTCAGTTCAGTTTAGTCGCTCAGTCGTGTCTGACTCTTTGCGACCCCATAAATCACAGCACGCCAGGCCTCCCTGTCCATCACCAGCTCCTGGAGTCTACTCAAACCCATGTCCATCGAGTTGGTGATGCCATCCAGCCATCTCATCCTCTGTCGTCGCCTTCTCCTCCTGCCCCCAATCCTTCCCAGTGTTAAGGTCTTTTTCAATGAGTCAACTCTTCGCATGAGGTCCCCAAACTATTGGAGTTTCAGCTTCAACATCAGCCCTTCCTATGAACACCTAGGACTGATCTCCTTTAGAGTGGACTTGTTGGATCTTCTTGCAGTCCAAGGGACTCTCCAACACCACAGTTCAAAAGCATCAATTCTTCGGTGTTCAGCTTTCTTCACAGTCCAACTTTCACATCCATACATGACTTATATTTTATCCAGACGCTATCCAAACAATATCTGAACGTTACCTAAATTTACTTAAGTCGTTGTGGCTGTGGTTTAGTTGCTAACTCGTGTCAGACTCTTAACGACTCTACGGACCGTAGGCCACCAGGCTCCTCTGTCCATGGGATTTCCCAAGCCAGAATACTGCAGTGGGTTGCCATTTCCTCCCCCAGGGGATCCTCCCAACCCAAACCTTCCAAAAAGGTGTAGTTACCAGTTCATTAAACAGGACATGCCATGTCTCTCTTTCACGAACTCAGTTGCTACTGCTTAGCACTGTTCTAGGTACAAGAGTTCAAGCTGAGCTGAAGAAGCAATGTCACCTTGAGGAGCTCACAGAGCAGTGAGGGAAACAGGTGGAACAACAGATTTCAAGTCAGTCTCCTAAGGCTTCCAATGATGGTAAGACAAAGCGTTCTGGAGACTCAGAAAGGGAAAGGAATATCTGGAGTTGCCAAGAGGATCCCACAGGGAAGGGGATGTGCTTTTGAATCTTGAAAAATAAGTAGGCAGAGGAGAGAAAAATTCCAGACTCCAGTTTTTTTTTTTTTTTTTTTTTAATGAGCATATGTGAGACCCCAAAGTATTAGACTAATTAATGCTTTTGTAGATATTTTCCCCACATGATCCATCCATGTAACTGCTATTTTGAGGGGCCACTGACTCGCACACTAACATCACCATAATCCTTCATCAAAATTACAAGCAGCTTCTAGATGACTCCAAAATATAATATATGAACTCAGTAGGCTTATTGTTTAGGAGAGTTTTTTTCCAAGAGGCTAAATATGTTATACTCTCTCTATAAAGAAATAAAAATTGGAAATCAAAGTCACTTATGGTTTCTTGAAAGCGTTTGGCCACAAAGATCTCAGTAACTTCTTTTTCTAGTATGTACATAAAGATGGATTAGAAAAATCCCTATGGATGATTCACCTTTTTATTAATAAAATACACATTGAAGAATATTCATTTTTTCAATACTATGGGAGAAACAACTCAGCCCAGTCAATGGTAAGTGGTTATATATTCTGACATTCGGTCCCATGTGAAAGTCACTGTTAGGTATTTTCTACTGCTACCATAATCCTCAAGAGGTTTTTAAAAACCAGACATGACAAGAGAAAAAAATCTCTAGGGCATTTCAGCCTCAAAAGACTTGCCTTCATCTCTCTGAGAATTACATGATGTTGAGAGGCAAGTTTTCAACAAGTTTCTAAAATGTTATTTCTAAGCTAGGTGTACACATATGTTCTTGGATGTCAGCAATTATTTGACTAAATGAAACCGTTAATTTTTAATTTAATTTTTAAATCTTTTTTAATCTATGCATACATATGTACATACATACATGTATATCATTACTATATCTATTTTAATAAAATAATATAATAAAAAGCAGAGGCCTAGCACATAGGCTCCAGAAAATATTCAATAAATAGTAATTGATGAGAGAGAAAAGAAAATTTCTAAATACCAGTTCTTCCTTACATAGAGAACATACAAAATTTTATCATGAATGGGATACTAAAGAAACAAAACCAGTAAGAAATTTAACTGAAATAAGTGATACATTTTAAGAAATAAAATATAGAGGATATGAGGGAAAAAGATCTGTAGAAGACAGGAACTCAAATATATATAAAGGTATGCTATGAAGTTAATGAATGTCTTAAGACTTGTTTCCCTGAGAATTTTAAATATATCTTTTTTAAAAATTCCAACTCCAGGAGAAAAGCATCAGAAATTCCTTGTTTCTTCAGATTTATTCAGATGGATATTGATGTAACTTTCATCCAGACAGAATTTATTTTATGTAACAGGTACATATGGAAAACAATTTTTACTTCATTTGTACCTTTCAGAGCAAAGAATTTCTGCAGTAAAGTAACAACCCACAACTTGCCTGTTTGACAAGTTCAATACTCCCTTTCTCAAATGGGGATTCATTTGTGCAAATATATCTCCGTTTCATGTAGTGATGCATTGGGCCTGGGAGTAAGGGCTTAGAAGCATTCACATGAGCCTGTTTGCTTCCATATTCTATGCCTACATGGAAATGTATATTCTACCCCTATATCAGAGACCTGTACTCATCCTTCCTACCTCTAAATCATTCTTCAACTTCTTTTCAGATTCCCATGAGCTGGAGCAGAACAACTCACAGGAAGATTTTAAAATTTTATTTACCTACATGAATAACTTTCTTTAAATTATTGAACTCAGGGAAAGGGAAAGGGAAAAGCACCCCCATTTATTAAGGACCTGCTAGCTACTAGAAATTGTCTTTGGAGCTTTACATATGGTATTTAATTCAACCATATTCTTAATGATCTTGAAGAAGAACATGAGTCTCAACAAATACAAACTACAAAGTTCAGCTGTTTGAGTTAATCCACTGGCATGACATTTTTTAACAAAAGATATATTATTTATGTAACAATAGATATATTAATTTAATATTAATGTTTTAAAGTGCCTCTATGAGCCAGGTACTCTTATATTAAAATTATACCAACTTACTATTATTTTACTTTCGCTTCTAGGTAAGTAGGCACAGATCCAGCCTCCAATTTGATGAATAAGTCTGGCTTTGGGGACCCTCCAGTGGAATACTCAGCCCCAGTACCACCTTCTCTCCTTACTCTCCTCTTCCCTCTGCTAATGTGTATGGACAGTTCTGCCGTGTGCCCCAGACCTTGCTCTACCATCTGATTCCATTGTTTGATTCCATTTCTCTGTTACTCTTGCTGATGACATGCATTTTATCAGTGCTATCCTGGCTCCCGTCTGGTCACTCCCAGAGATCCAGGATTTCAGACGCCAGCTGTACCAGCATGGAAATGGTCTCCTGCTCATCCAGACAGAACAGGAAGTGATTGTGGGTCCCAGACTATAACCAACTGGAAAAAGAGATGCAAGTTGAAGTTTGGTGTTGGTTAGCCTCTATTTTTGGAACACCTTCTTGGCCCCCTGTTTCTGGCCTTTCTCACATTCCCTGCAAGGGAAAGGCCAATCCCTAGGAAGTCAGATCATAAGAGCTGCAAGCAATAGGCAGGTGCCTGAACCATCTAAGCCCAAGTGTGCAGGGGCAGAGTCCCAGCCAACCTAGTAAAACATCACCCAACCAGAAAAGAAGCTCCGCCAACAAAGAAGTTGGGCTTGAAGCAGGACACAATAGAGAGGCAGTGCTATTTGCACAAGAAGTCATAGTATAACAAAAGAGGTATTATGGAAAGATTCAGGAGGAATTGGAGGAAGCCAATTGTTGGAGTCAGAGCTGCCATGATACTTGCAAGCATGAAATGTGGGATTAAACTGGTAACAGGGAATGCAGAGTCCTACCAGAGACATTCTCGGCAGGACAGAAGACAGGATTTACAGACATACTGGTTACAGGAAATATTGGAGGGTATTGGAAGACAAATACAACTTTAAAATATTTTAGCAAAGACTATTGACAGAAATGGGAATGTCAGGTGGCTGTGGTGATGGAGATGGTGGATAAGGAAATTGGTTTCAATGTAGATGTGAACAGTTTAAGATGACAACAGGGTAGGCAAGTAGAATTCACCTGTTCACTGTCACTATCCTGGTTCCAGAGCCACAGAGAAGTCGGAGATAGGAGACCTATTTCCTGAGAAGGGGCTTCCCTGGTGGCTCAGAAGGAGATGTGCCAGGAGCTGTGGATTCAATCTCTGGATCAGAAAGATGGCCTGGAGGAGGAAATGGCAACCCACTCCAGTATTCTTGGCTGGAGAATCCCAGGGTTAGAGGAGCCTTGTGGGCTATAGTCCATGGGGTCACAAAAGAGTTGGACATGACTTAGAGACCAAACATCAAACAAAACACCAACATTCTCAAGAAGAGGCTCGACACAAACCTTTTCAACAGCTATTAAAATTCCTAACCAAAATTCACCAAGCCCATTCATTCATTCATGTCACAACAGCAAAAGATTAACATGTCTTTCTTTATAGAGAGAAAAAGGTTTTTCTCTTTTGATTCATAAAGCTAATCTTCAGAAAATGGTTGAAATCATTAACCACTCTGAAACTTACTGTAAAGCTTCGATTTGTTGGGGGGGTGGGGAGAAAACCCTTCAAAAAGGAATAATTCCTTTAACATTCCAGACTATGACTTGATGACTTTTTTACACAGAGATTCTATTAATTGATTTTTATTGATATTTAATAGTGGCAAAGTCATCACATTGAAGAAATCTTAAGTCATTTATCAGCTTCCTCTCCAGAGCCCTGAAAACACCTGAAGATTATTTCAATCAAACTGATCATTCACTGAACACATAATCATGAATAATTTAGTAGAGCAGTAGATCTATTACTTAATATAGTGCTAACCTTTTATAATGCTTCTACACAGGGAGAGGACTAATATCTGTGTCACAGAATAACTTATATCAGGTCTTAGCTTTTGGAGGTAACATTGTGACTCACGGAATACCTAAACACATGCAGTTATAAACCACATTATGGGAAAATAGTTAACCTTTGTGTAGCATTTAAGAGTTTACAAAGTACTTTCTCAGACATTATCTCATCTGATGCTCAAAACAACCTTGGGAGAGAGGTGTTATTAACCCAACCTATTTTATAGGTGAAGACAATAAGGAACAGAGAGGGGAGGTGATTTGCCTAAAGCTGCCTCGCTATTAAGTAGTGGCACAGAGATTCTCAGGCTTCCTAGGTGGCACTAGTGGTAAAGAATCTGCCTGCCGGTGCAGGAGACATAAGACACGATGGATTCAATCCCTGGGTCAGGAAGATTCCCTGGAGGAGAGCATGGCCACCTACTCCAGTATTTCTTGCCTGGAGAATCCCATGGACAGAGGAGTCGGGCGGGCTACGGTCTATAGGGTTGCAAAAAGTCAGACACAGCTGAAGCGACTTAGCACACACATACTGAGATTCTCCCCCCAAAATCTCTGTTCTGTCCTCAGCACCCATAGTTCTCTAGCAGCATGATCCATACTGATACCAATGGCTTTTTAAAAAA